CTCCAGACAGGTCTGGGCTGACTGCTTCACAGATTCACATCTCAGCTTCTGTCACCTCCCCAACCCTGATCTGCTCCCCTCAACAGCCATGGTCCCTCACCCCTGTTCTGCCTGAAGTCTCCATCCCTCTTCTCTCTTCTATCTTCCTTGAGCTTTGGGGATAAGGAAGAAGACTACACCGAGGGGAACACAAAGCAGGTCAGGAGTAGGGAGGAAAGAGTCTTGGTAGAGTCAGCACAGTGCAGAAGGGGAAAGGCGGTGGTGAGCTCTGGGACTAGACGAAGAAGAGCGACTACGTGGTGATGCTTCTCAGCTTGACGGCTAGATCAGTGCCCCCAACAGACAACAATCCCAGTCCTTGTTAATCCCAATCTCCCATCTACTGAGGGAAGATGGGAGAGATAAAAGTATGTGAACACACCTAGCACAGGGCAGGGCATACAGGAAATACTCCATAAATGCATGTCCTTCTCCCACCTTTGTCCTTAACCATATCTTTGCATCTTCCCCAAAGGCTTATAAACACATAAATAAAGCTGGAACCCCATCTGGCTGAAAAGCCAACCATCTGGAGATTTGGAAATAAGGGGGAACTTCTAATGACTGGCTAATTTTTTTCAGTTTCCAGGCAGATGTTTGATGTCATCCAGACCCATCTGTAGTAGAAATAGCAGTTTATTGAACCTCTTTCCCATAATTTCAAGTTCCCTCTGCTAAAATCCTAAATGGGTTTTCTTTTCTTAGTAGGCATTTTTAGAAAATGAATTGAAAAGTGATGACTGACTAATGAAGAGAAACTCAGGAATCAAAGATGGAAATATCAGAAATCTGGATGAAAGGGACTTTTAGATCATTTCCAGAGTTCAAAACTGGCAAATTCACTTACAAGTTCTGTTTGGCTTGACTAGCACCATGTTCTTAAAAAATTGAATTAGTTGCCCATATTTTAAAAGCCAAAGCTTTCACATCTGGCTCTTAAACACTTGGATTATTGGGAGAAAATTGATATACATTTCTCCAGGGTAAAAATCAACTCATGTTAAGTAGCATTTGCCCCTAGCTGTGGCTTTACTTCCAACTCCTCACAGTCCCCACCATTCTCTCTTGCCCCACACTGAAACCAAGTTTCAGTTGCTGTATATATTCTCCAGTGCACTGGTATTCCTGCTTCTCCATAAAGTTGAAATGCTTCTGTCTAATCCAACTGGATTTGTTATTTCTTAATCTCGGGAGTCTTATTTTAGAATTAGGTAAACTGAGGCTTAAAGTGGGAAAATAACACACACAGTTCACATGAGTGTTAACAACAGAAATGAAGTTAGTATTCAGGGTTCTTTGCTACTAGGCCAGCAGTCTTTCCACTCTCTAAATACATCCCTTTGGTTATATTAGGACCTTGAGAGTTTACTTGATGAGAATCACATCTTGAAGACACTCTCATTCAAATTCTCACGCTGCCATTGAAAGCACGTGGCAGGCTGGGGCACTACTTTGTGAATGCCACGCATGCTTTCCAGATAGTGAGTCAGGCGTTCATTCTGGCTTCCCAGTGTGGGTGTCGCTACATAGGTCGATTGTTTCTTTATTCAAAGTGTGTCCTTTGCTGCCTCTGAGTTTGTGCCTGTCTGGGAGCTCCTGCACCTTTGCAGGTGCAGCATGCACAGGTTTGGAGTCCTGGGACTGGGACTCCTGGATGGAAAACCCCCCTATTCTTGGGTCTTCTCACAAGTGCATGCCTGCACCAGTAGCTCCCTATGCACTGGAGTGTTAAGGCTTATAGCAATGCTCTGAGAAACAGCATGGCTTAGGAGAAGTAAGCCTTTGAGTTTAGACAGGTGACCTTGGGTAAGTTACACAATGTCTCCAGGCCTCAGTTTCTTCATCTGTGAAAGGAGGGCATTCATGCTATCTTGACCACTGAGCTCCTTTGAAGATGAAGGAGTTAATTTTTTCAAATTCATAGAACATCCTAGCCCATAGTAAGTGCAAAGTATGAACGGCATTATGGTGAGCTCTAGAAATGAAAACTAGAAATCCCTCTTCCCTTATTTAAGTGATGCGATTCTTAACACATAGCCAAGTTCATTGTCAATACTCAGGACATGTTGGCTTTCACTTCTGAATTGCATGGAAGACTAAATTCAGATTCTAATGAACCACCACAGAATTATGGATGCAGAGAATTTATTTGAAGGATCTGATCATCTAGTTTTTGAAGCTCTCCCATATGATTCTGATGATTAGCTAAGTTTGAAAGACATGGATGTTGTTTTCTGATTCTTGAATCCCTTTGGTGGTGGGGAACATGTCACCTCTTAAAGCTTCCCATTCCACATTGAATAGTTTTTTATATTGAGGTAAATCCTGTTTTTCTCTAGCTCCTACTTCTACCCCCTTGAGGCTACACAGAACATTTCAAATCTCTTTTCTATATGACAGCCCTTCAGATATTTGCAGACAGCTGTCATGTCCTCATGTCCCACTTGAGTATTCTTTTCATTTGGACAAAATAGCCACATTCTCTTATGGCTCTTAAAAAAGTATGGAGAAGCTGACTCTAATTTTATATCTAAGAAAATTGAGCCACAAGACTTATCAGTTGTTGTTTGACACTCAAAAGACCAGAAAATGGGGTGTTGAGACTCTGGGTAGATAGACATACTGAATGAAAGATGGCTGTCCAGCTTCTTTCCAGAGAAGGGTGGGTTACTTACTTACTACATCTCTTTCCATGTAGAATGAGAGGCTCCTGCAAATACCTTGAATGCTTGCTGTATTCAGTACATGAAGAAAAACCTTGGCTTCAGATTTCAGCTAGGCCCACTGAGGAGTTGGTTATATGGTATGCACATATTTAAGAATTCATTGTGATTCATTAAGGTTTGTGCATGTTACTATATTTAATCCTTCAAAATATGTTTTTAAAATAGCTGACTACATGAATACTACAACAAATTTTCTCTAAAGAATTAACCTGCCCAAGAACATATCTTAGATTCATCCAGTTCCCTCTTGATTAAGAGACTCACTGCTCCCACTAAACCCCCAGAATGCCAGAGTGGGGTCCACTCCTGTACAGTCTGTAGGTGTAGGACATGATTTAGAGAAAAGAAAAACCATCAGTTGAGACATTCTAAGGATTCAGGTATTGTAGGCCCTAGCCAGGAAGCAAAAATGGTGTTTAATTGTGCATTCCAAGGCTTTGTTCCGAGGACAGAGGAGTCAGAAATAACAGAAACATAGACTCCACACATGGTACATTTGGTAGGAGTTTCAGATTTTTTATGCCATTCCTGGAACCATGTAAGAGTCAAAACACCCACCAAACACAGCTTTACAAAATAGAATTCAATTCTTTGTTGTTGATAAAAGAAAAGGAAATATGGAATTTTCCCTAAAATAAACAATTTTACCATACTTGATCACAAATGGTAACACATATTAGATTTTTGACAATGCTTAGGAAAGAGTAATTCTAGATCTTCCATTCATATACTGGATACGTGAGAGTTTGGTATAGTACTAATTCATGACCACTTATTCCAAATTGATCATTTTCCAGATTAACAAACTGAGGCCTGGAGTGGGTAAATGTCACTGCCAAGGTCACACAGGTAGTTTGCGGCATTATGCAGGTCTTCTGACTTCACATATAGTCATCAATGTTGCATTTACAATAGTGCTTTCCTACCTGGACTTCCCACCAGTTGCAAATTTGTTTTGGAAACAGAATTAACAGTAGTAGTGTTACATTCAGGAGAGCCTTTATTCGGAGTGTCAGGACATGGGAAGAAAGCCAGGGGATGATGCAATATTACACTAGCAAGTGATGTCATAGCATGATTTCCTAAGTGATTTACATAAAAGCAAGTTCTCAAGAAGCCCTGGCAAATGCCAGTCAGTGTGAATGCAGGCATGGGGAACCAATGGCAGGCAGGAGAGGAGAACATATAGGAAACCCAGATTTTCTTGCCCATCACTGTTGCAAGCTTCACAGATTTTCAGAAGACTGAAAAAAAAAAAAACCCTCTGTCCCTCTAATCCAGGACTTTCCCTGAGACACATAGACTAAAGAGCTTTGGTTTTCTTCTCTGTCTTTCTGTTTACTCCCACTGACATCCAAGAATTGCCCAGTGATGCTGTGCGTGACTCCTGTTGTACTGAAGTGAGTTTAGTAGTGATACAGGTTACCCAAGAGATTTACCTTCTAAAATTGATCTGATTTCTTCATTATAATTTAAGGTGAATCCTCAATTTTTCTATTAGAAGTGAAAAGCTGTAAGTCTTAAAGAATTAATTTTATGTAATTGTCATAGAAATACATTTGTTTGGTTTGGGGATGATTTAAGACGGAAGCCAGGTGGATACTAAATCCCAAGGTTCCATTTTTGTTTTCATCCAAAACAGTGAAGCATGTATTAATAAAGAAGTTTTCTTAAAATGTGTATTTGTGTAGGTCACATATGTTAGTCTGGAATTGGAAGGCAAAGGAAGTTCGTGAAAATCTAGTTAGACCAAACTCAGAATGAACTGGTAAGAACGTTGAGAAATAAGGAACTAGCTGAGTGAGTGATCCAGACTAGGTCAGGGTCTCTTATATTCTCTTCTCTCTCTCTCTTTCTCCCTCTCCACTCCTTCCCCCCCCCCCCCACTGGGATGTAATTTAATCAGAGCCAAACACCCTGTGTAAAGCCAAACATCAAAACAATTCACAATATGCCTAGGGATTTTGAATTCGAAGACTTTTCTCAACTGCAGAATCTTCCCAGAGTGCCACAAAATCTCATCTCATGAAGCTTATTCCAAAAACAACAAGCCCCAACCCTTCATCCCACATAGCATTAGTCCTGCTGGGAACAATCTGACATCTGCACATTTTCAGCAACAATTTGAACTATTTCTCTTTTCCCATCACTGCCTCCATTTCCCCAAACGCCACTGGGATATCACAATACCAGAAGCTGAAGTATTTGGGGTCACTGACAGGGATTTGTAAATACCTTCTAGGCAGCAGGTCCTCCACAGTCCCGAATGGGTCATTACTTCTTCATTCTTCCTGCTGGTTTCATTATCACTTGTAGATTTAGTCCTGCACACACCTCTGGAATATAACCAGTAGTCCGTGCCCACTGCAATGGTCATTAAACTAAAAGCTGCGAAGGCTCCCACAGTGGTGATCAACATCTGGATACCTCTGTCACACATCCTCATAATTCTTCATGGTACTCTGGATGGATGGGTGTTGGAGGGGGAGGTTTGATGCCGAAGGGGGAAATCACTCTGCAGCTGGGCAACCTAGGGCAGGCTCTTCCAAAAATTCTGGTCTCCTTTTGTCGGCATCCACAGGGACTTTGAGAAAGCTAGGATTTCCTGTCTGGAGCTCTCTCCAGTTCCCTGGTCGCCTATGGCCCTCGGAAGGGTGCAGGCTCCAGGGGGTTGGTCCACATCACTGCTGCCTTCTGAAGGTCCCTGGGTTCCTTTCATTCCTCAGGAGCGTGGTAAGGATGAGGGTCTGTGCAGGGCATGGCTCCGGAGCCTGGAGCTGTGGGCTTGCTTTGAGATGCTCCTGGCTCCTCACAGCCCCAGGAGACTCAAGGCAAAGAAATCCAGAGAGGTCTGTGTGTGTGTGTGTCTGTGCGCGCGCGCGTGCGTGCGTGTGTGTGCCAGCGCGTGTGCTGGGGGTGAGGGCGGATGGCAAAAAATAGCACTGCTGGGAGGCGAGCCGCTGAGAAGAGTGTTCACTGCTTCCCCAGCCTCCCAGGAAAGCTCTCCGCCTGCTCGCGACACCCCCGCTCAAACTGGAGAAAAGACAGAGTCCTGGGGCGGGGGGCGGGCGGTTTCATTGGAGGGCAAAGGTCCGCGGTGCTGAAGAGACAGCTCCCCGCCTGTTGCCCCGCCTCCGCCTTCCTGAAGCCTGGCTGTAAGTCCGTGGTGCTGAAGGGACAGCGCCACTCCCGTTGCTGCACCCCCGCCTTTCTGGCGCCCAGGCTAGAGACTGGGGTACTAGAGGGTCGGTCCTCCCCTGCCACCGACCCTTCCTCGTCTCTTCCCAGGCCAGCTCGGTTCTACCTAGTCAAGCCCACGCTCCGCGCAAAGTTTCGGAAACCCAGGGCAGTCAGCGCCTCAGCACCTTGGCGCTGCAGCATGACCCGGTTCCTCCGCCCCCTGAAGGGTTAAGGAAAGGGGAAGGGGAAAGAAGCCCGCAGCGCACTCTGGCGCTCTCTCAGCTCCCACCCTACGCCGCGTTTCTCCCCTTCCCACCAATGAGCCAGGCAAGTTTGCCTTTTGCTGCGGGCGCTGCTGGAGCCATCGGGGAAGACCGAGTCTTCTTAAAGGGACCGGCGACTCCGGGCGAGGGTTCTGTGGTTCATTTGAGCAGGCGAAAAGTGTTGTCACAGGCACATCTGTGTATAGTCTGTCTCAATTTGGTTCCCTAGAAAACAAACCAATATGTCTACCCTTCTTTCTCTGGAGCTCTGGTTTACACCGGAGACAACGTGTTCAGATCAGACTCAGAACGTTTCATATACAAATGATCATATATAGCTGAAAGACCAGAGTGGGCAAATACGCATAGAGTCTACCTGTCTATAGACTCGGGAATTTGGTGTGAAGGGGTATGAGATATTACTTTCTGAAGACACTTTCTGCATGTTTTAACACCCCTACATTTGAGGGATTACGGGGTGGGAGAATCACTGAAAATGTCAGGTTCTTTCCAAAGGTTCCCAGGATGTTCTCTTCTTAACATTCTCATCTAGGTTAGACCAGGTGACAAGTGAAGTTAGTCTGTTTCCCTAAGTCGAACGTGCAAATGCCATTGCGTCACTGGAAACTAGTGAGTCCCTTGTAAATCATCAATATTGCACAAAATTAGCATTTAACCAGTTTTTATTTTCTTAATTTTGAATTCTGGTATACACATGAGAAAGCACTGAATTGACTGAGGACAGCCCACAGAATGCCTTTATAGCTGTTCCCTGTGGCATGATGGGACAGCCAGCCAGAGCACAGGCGTTTGGGACTGAGGCTGCTTGAGTTGTTCCTGTGTCCCCTCAGGTGTGTGCACAGCTGGACAAGCATACAATGGGAAGCAATCACAGACTCATCTCTGTCTCCAGCTGTCTGTCCAGAGCTGCTCTACAAATGACTTAATGGCAGCAACACATGCAAGAATTTTCAGATCCAACTCACAACTTTTTGGTGACGTTGCTACTTCTGATGTGAAGGTCACTGGGAGATTTAGCTTATGGTATTAGGTGTACATGCAAGTACATGCATAGGGTTGAGTATTTAGTCATGAAATTATTGTATTTGAAAATTCACTTAAACTGTTATAATTTCATTTTGAGTTCCAAATGTCTGTGAGTTTGTTGGAGACAGGTAGCAGGTATGTGAGTATGTGTCTGTGCCTGCATTCAGGGTTGTGGCCCAGCGTGTGTGTCTGTCACATATGCATAGTTGTATATGGGGTGCATGTCTGTGTACAGATACAATAGAGGCTTGTGCACCCATGTAAAGTTAATTGCATATGCATATGTCGTGATTCACAAACACTGATTTGTGGGCAGAAAGTAAAAATATGAAAAATTGGCCACATAACCAAAATTCAACAGATAAACTTGGGACCAAGATCACAACTAGCCATACTTCAGAAGAGAAGATACCCAAGACCTCCTATAAATTTCTTACTGTATTTAAAAAAAAAAAGATACTTTCCTCTTCTCAGTGAAATGTCCTACCTTGATATTCTTAAGTAGAAAGTTTGTGGGATCAAATTGCTCTTTCCTGAGAGGAGTTAGTAATAAAATAGTGAAATTTTTCTCTTGCCCCCCCTGAGTAAAAAGTTAAACAGCATGACGTAATTAATAATTATCCAATTATTCCAATTCCCTTATATCTTTATTCTCTCTTCTCTCATTAGGATCACATAGATGGAGGTCAGTGGGCTGTGGGCTTAGGAAAACTGTGCTGCTGTCTCTCTAAGCCTCAGATCCACAGCAAACAAGAGCAGACTCCTCAGGTGTATAATATAGGCCCGGAGGGACAAGATGGGAAGGTCCATGGAAAGAATCTGCTGCCAGATAGAATAGCCTGGGGAGAGGGCTAGGCGCTCAGGAAGATGAAGGCAACAATCATAAGTCAGGAGGGTCAAATGTTCTGAAAGAGGGAAAGGGACACACAGAACGAGAATGAGGTTTCTATGGGCCTTTTGGCTTGATGAGCCAGGTGCCTCCTGGCGACTCCTGCACAGGCCAAAGCGAGTTCCAGGGAGTGGGACGTTCTGAACCCGCATGTGGAGCAAGTCAGAACACCTGACTGAGTGGGAGTGCGGAGGTAGGGGGGCCGTCAGTTAGTTCCTGATGATGCCTCCCCACTTACTAGGGGGTGACCTCATCCTTTCATTCAATTGAGTGTGTAGGTGTGTGTACATGCATGTGTGGAGTCGACTTCTAGGTCTGAAGTTAATTGCGCATTTTCACCACTAGAGGGATCTTGCACCAGATCAGTCAGGGACCCAAGAGATTCAAAGAACTGTCTCTTCTCATCATGATGGAGCCAGGCTCTTTCTCTGTGTTTGCTGACCCTCACTGACCCTACTTACGGGACAGAAGACTGGGAGGCATTCAGACAGTTGGAAACTGATGTGGATTCCCGTATCAAGGCTCTCCCTCCCTCCAACTACTCTCAGCTAGTGTAGTAGTTGACCTATTGTATCTGCTTTTTCCTGTTCATTTTCTCATATATCAGAGTCACTCTCACCTCAAGAGAGATCAGCACCCTCTGAAAGTGGCTATGCCACTTAGGACTGTGTCCTTAATGCTGATCCACTCAATAAATGCTGCTTCTTGAGTGCCTACTATGTACAAAGTATTTTTCTTAGCACCTTGAAGAATACACAGATAGAATCCCCCTCACCCCCACAAAGGAACCTCTTATATGATAGGGAATTCTTTACTAGTGAGTACATTTTGGCTGTAAGTAGCAGCAACTTACTGGAGCTCATTTAAGTTGGTAGATTTGGTAGTAGAATGTAGCAGTTTCAGTAACCTTCCAGCAAAGCCTTAACCCAGCTCCAGCAAGGAGCTGATAAAGCGATCTGGAATTTTGACATTCGTTCCATTTTCATCTCTGCTTCTTTTCATATTTTCAGTTGAAAAAAAATCATTTTGCATTTCTACTCCTAGATTTTCAAGATGGAAGTTAGATTTTGAATCTTTATGTCATAGGAAACCACGGAGACTACACTGGGCAGTTTTAGTACCAATTCAAAATTTCCAGGAGACATATACTGACAGGCTAGCTGGAGCCACCTCCTGGCCCAGTCAGCTTGGGTTATAGAGCCAGGGTCATGTAGTGAGAAGTGGCTACCGGGACCAGCCTCTGTGAGCTGGGAAAGAGAGGACAGTTTTCAGAGTAGAGGAGTTCCTGTGACTTTTCCAAAGTCCACATGGTTCCCACTTGCTCTGACTAGGCCCTTGGACTAAGCAGGAAAGCACAGTCATGAACAAGAAGACAACACGGTAGGAGTGGGGGATTCTGATGATACTGGAGCCTCCTGCTAGACGTGGGTCTGGGCTGGGTTTCAGTGGTACCAACTAGCTTCTCCTTGTGTCCATGAGCTTCTCGCAGGAGACAGGTTAAGAGCAAAAAACTTTTCAGAATTAAGGGCACCCACACAGGTGTTAAGTTAAGAAGATGGTGAAAACGCAGTAGTCATAGGCCAAATAGTATAGTCTTTGCCATCTTGTAATCCCCCCTGGACATTTCCACATAGTCCAGATATTAGTTTTCTGTTTTTCAGATTCAATCTTCCAAAAAAGTGTTGAAGACTAAATTTGGTCATAAAACACATCCTCACACTACTTAAACATCAGCTTTCTTATCTTTCAGTGTCTGACTCACTCTCTTTTCGCTGTCACACCCAAGTGCTTGCAAGCTCTGTTCCTGCACCTACTCGGTGGTCAGAGTTGAATGGCTGAAGGAGGAGAGAAATGGCAAAGGTGAGACAGTGTGCTGCTACAGAACAGCCAAGAGGAACTAATGGAACACGTGTGATAGAAGGAGGACCAGAGGTTGCTGCATGTCACTGAAAATGACAGCGATGACCAATACAAGAACTAAGACTATTCTCCAGCTGTATTTGGGGTGACGTGAGCTAAAGTAGGAAAGAATTGGGTGACTGTGGAGTGGGACCCATTACAGCCCATTCAATCCCTATTTGGTTTTTAAAAATCCTGTGCATGTATACTTTGATAAATGTTTAAAGTCAATTAAAAAATAAATGAAAACAGTATGCAGCCTGCCACCTGTCCATCTCTCCCAGCCACCTCCTGCTTTATCGGTATAGAACTGCCAGGTGTTCCCTATGATTCATCCACCCATTCCCTGTGCTTGGAATGCTCTTTCCTGGGATGTTGTGCTCATAAAATAATTTATTTTGAAAGAATTTTTGAATTTACATAAAAGTTGCTACCACCAGATGTTCCCATGGCTCGCTCCCTCCCTTCATTCATCGCTCGACTCAAATGTCACCTCAGCGAATCTTTAACTGTTCTATCAAAAATAATATCCCGTGCTTCTCTCTCTCCTCTCACTCTGCTCAGTTTTTCTTCATAACACTTATCATTTCTGACATTACCCTGTCTCTGTGCACATATGTACACATGTAGGTTTGTATTTATTATCATCTCCCCAACTACAGCAAAAGAATTCTAAGGTGCTTTGTCTTGTTTACATCTAAATTACTAGACCCTGGAATAGTTCCAGGATATGGTAAGCACTCAATTAGCATTTGCTTAATCAATGAATCGCATAAATAATTATTAAGTTTTATACCTTTGATAGACACTGGCTGGTCAATAATAACCAAGAAAGGCATTGTTTTTGCTCATTTGCTACTCAATCTAATGGAAAGGACAGAGGTAATTGAGCAAGCAAGAACACCTGTAGTAGCTGCCGACTGGGACCTCACATATGCCCAGATTACCTTTACTGATTGATGCATCTGCACACCCATTTTTCCTGTCCTTAGCTGCCCCTTCTTAGAAGAATTGCCCCCAACTGATAGGAGATGACTCGCCCTCCCCTAGGGCAGTGTGACAGAGGGGCACTGCTCTTCCACTGGAGACAGAGATAGAGACATCTCTGTGGGATATGGTATAGTTCATGTTCCAGAGCTTTCTGTGTATCAGGCCAATGCTAGGCTTTACCTGGGACTCTTAGAGGGCAGGGAGAGGGGGTACCCCAGGTCCCCTAAAACTGACTCTCCAAATAGGTTTTGCCATCTGCCGCATCAAGACAAAACATGTAAGACCTTTAGTGGTAAGGAACTTTAATACCATTAGTGTGTACCAAAGAAAAGACAAAGAGGGACCTCCGCACCCC